AAATGTTTATTGGATATATCCTCTTGAATAATACATTGAAAAAAATCAATAAGATCACATCATACAGACATGACAAGTTGCTAAAAAAGCATTTTGATATTAGAGCCATATATATGTATACAGACATGGTACATATTTTATGTATACAGGAAGGTAACAGGCTGAATATGAATCTTACTGTATATTTGCTTTTAATGTGCATTTAAGGCCAACACATGCACTTTCCATGGAACACAATAGATGTTATCAAGACTGGACGTGATGTAGAGTACCTTCTGATGAGATATTTCTGTAGAGGTTTTCCCTCCTTCTGCAGAAGTCGCAGGGCTTCCTCAGTCCTGTCATACTCTTCTGGTGAGAGCAACGGTCTGGCTACATCAAGGTACCTGGGCAGGAAATAGAGACAGTTCATTTTTTTATTAATCAAGTTTATTAGGACAAGTTTGCACTGAAAATCTAGAGACCAAACACAGTGATGTTAAAAGAGTGACAAGTGGATTGGAGACAGTCGGGAACAAGCAAAGGTAATGAGAGATGATATATACAACAGTGATGACACAGTGTCCCAAGAGACAGTGGTTGTCACAGTAACAGCCTATAAGAAGATGAAGCAGACACAGACCACAGGATCGTGGCTGATTCAAGGATTAACAGTACCATCAATGATCACTCACTCACTCATGAGGGTCTGCATGGGGGGGTCCTGGCAACGGTTAACGGTAAATTCAGCAGGGCCGATAACGCTTAACGGTAAATTCAGGACGGTCGGCAACGCTTAACGGTAAATTGACAGGCTTTTTTTTCGAGCTGCACTGGATTTGGTATCTCTCTTTGTGATCACTGACAAAATTACGTATACCTTACATGTAATGAAGCATTATAGGTATGTGTTCCCTGTGTTCCCCACCTGCCCTGGTCCCCGAGTGCGTCCACAAATACCGGGGTGTCCGAGTCGACGTCGGCCAGCTTGCATTTTTTTCAGTCTGCCCAGTTTTACCGATGGATTTTGAGAGGGGAGCGCCGAAGGCGCTCATAATCTAGGGGGGTCCGGGGGAATGCCCCCCGGGAAATTTAGGATTCTTAAGCCTTCAAAAACGCAATTTCCCGCATTTTGAGAGGCAAATCATGGTGTTGAGAGTGTTTGTCTGTCCTTCTGATGTTTTCATATTTTACTCAAGATTTTTGGTAATTTGCCTGTCAAGGTTGACGGATTCGTTGAAAAAAATTCTGTAACTCTCCGCAAACTTCCGGAAATTGAAGGGAAAACTGGTGCTGGCTAGAGCCGAAGGGACCGAGCGCAGAAGCGAGCAATATAGGGGGGTCCGGGGGCATTCTCCCCCGGGAAATTTTGTATTTTTGAACCTTCAATGACGCATTTTCCTGCACTTTGAAAGGCAAAATTAGGCGTAACGAAGAATTATTCATTAACGCTTAACGCTGAATTTAGGATGACAAATATCGTTTTACGTTGAATTAAAACGACCCATAACGCTTCACGAGGAATATACTGATAACGCTTAACGTTGAATTAGAGCAGGCCGGCAACGATTAACGGTGAATTAAAATAGCCCATAACGGTTAACGAAAAAGGGCATGCAGGCCCTCACTCATGATGGCGACTACAAAACATTTACTAGTGGGATGTCGATGAAATCTTACTTCGTGCAGGTTGTCTCAAGATCCGGCACTGGCAGTGATGGTATCACACTCTGAAACTCGAACAGTGAGTATGGTCCTTTCCCCATCACCTTATCAATCAGGTAAAGCCACACCTGTACAGATGAGAATGATAAGATGATGAGAACCTCAATTTCACACAGTCTGCATCCTTTTCAATGTCATACTTCTCTAGTCCTTAATATTCTATTTACAGAAAATAGAACGTAATTTTCTTTTTATTTTTGCATACTTTCCACGCACTCATTGGTTAAAAGTCCGCCCACGGTATTAGATAATTCTCATCTTGGAATTTAGACTACGTCAAGACTCTCGGACGATGCACTTGATCTGTTTTGTTTTGTTTACTAGTACCTTGGTGATTCTACTTCGTGGTGAGTACATCCATCCCCTGTACCCCAGGAGAACCTTCAGGGACAGGAACCTGCACCATGTCCGGAGATTCCAGCCGACACAGCCCACCACAAACCCACACACAGCGCCATTGCCGGGAGGGGAAATACTCCAGAGGGGCGGTAACGTCGCGAAGGTGCCGGGGAAGCTGCGAGCGACAATGATCCCTGTCGCCGCCCCTGCAGCTCCGATCATCACCGTCGAGACCAGGGGAGAGTCCATCACACTCTTGCTGACAGCAGACATCCTTCGATTTCTATTCACGTTGTATTTACCTCCAGAACTTCAGATTGACCTACATCGGCTGCGGTTTCACCATCTTTGTCACCTTCCCTTGTCATTGATCACATGGTCAAAATATTGCACGACAGCAGCAGAACATATTAAAACATTTCCGTAATAGTGCAAAGTAATAATCTTTTTCAACATAAAGAATGTTAATAAATTAATGGTGAATTGTTTTATGTCTAGATATTTTATATTGTAAGAAAATAATGTGATTTTAACTATAAAAAATCGGTTTCATGATGATGGTTACGTGTATATGCGATCTAGCGGGAAGCAGACGAACTTTTGAATGCTGCTGAATGCTACAAATCAGTGTTGCAAATTGAGTATGGGGCAATATCATATTGAATATGTCAAGGAACTTCATTCATTTTGTCCGGTCGACGGAGGCTGTGCGGTCGGATTTGTAGGTAAGTTAGTTACAATTTTGCCACCAAAGACCTGCAATGCGATAACGCACAGTAATGCACTTGTGATTCTTGTCCTTGTCAACAGGTGGCGTTACTAGCGTTACAAGTTCTAGTTCCAGGTCATCAGCCAGAAGCCACTGACTGACTGAGCTATTAAAGTCCACACAGTTTGTTTTACGACGGGGAAAATACTATTTGATCACCATGGCGGTTTACCAATGACAAACAAATGTAAGACTAATTCACCATCTTACTAGATTGCAAATTTATCCATGATAACGTCGCTGCTAGGCTACGAAAAGTTGAGTTTGACTGTAACTTAACGGTTTTAGTAGTTTCTTTAATAGTGGGAGACAATACTGTCTCTAATGCATTGTTCCTTTTGAAGGAAGAAATAGGGTGTCGAGGGTTATACCAAGTCCAAAGTGATAAGTTCGAACAAAAACTCCTGAGGGAGTCTAGAGCAGTGGACCACGTCTTGACGAGGGAGGGAAGGTGCAAGACAGATCAGCCTCCGTTCCTCTGGGGAGTTCCCTGTGGACATTTGCATATCTGTTGATGTGGACGAAATGTACACAACGCTTCCACACTTGTCATGCCATCACCCCAGGGCAACATGACAACGGTCACTGATTCCTGAGCATCTGCAACACCAACAGGATCACATGCATCGGTACGAACACTGTCTTCCCATTCTGTTTTCAAGTGGAGTATGAAGGGTTATATCATTGTCTAAGACTTCATGGACTCTGAAAGCCAGACTTGCATGTGTCTCGGTGGGCGACCGATCGTGCCCTGACCCCACACAAGTGATCTCCAGCTTTGTGTTATTTTGGGCCCAACATTTTTCACTAGGGGCCCGAGAGGAACAACACGCGTCTTTCTTGAATACAACGGACATTTTTTCCTACCCTAAAGGAATCTTAAGCTGAATTGTAAATATCCCGATTGTTGTGAGTAAGAGATGTGTGTCGGCCCCTTGAGCTGGTAAGTGCGGGTAAGATTGAAGAGAAGAGGTCCCTTGGGTTGATGTTTATCAATTAATGTTGATAATCAGGATAGTGTAGGTTGGTGCATGATGGCGGTATTGAGGCCCAGCCCTCCCCACTTCCTGTCCCTTTCTATGCATTTTCACGGTGGAGTCTGATTTCTGTTCAACCATCAGCATCCTTGAACTCTCACGTCCCTGACCTGGTGACATGTATCATTGTATGTGTTAAACTTGGTGATGCATGGATTCAACATCCATAACGTTACATGCTTGTTGATTTATGACAACGATATATTAATTTTGGTTTCTATTATCATCCTACTCAGCATGCCACCCTGTGCATGTTCTAATTGTGAAACTGTGAGCCAAGGAAACTTCATTTAACGGCCCATCAAATTGGCATTTTCACTAATCCCACACTGATTGGGCTATGTAGATAACACATTGCAGTTGATTAGCAGTATCTCCAAATGTTCCAAATCTCAATGTTATCACAAAAAGGACAACTGTGTTTGTTAATGTAAGCAATGCAAGAAAAGCTAAGGGAGTGGAAACATAACCTCCTTGTCACTGGGTTGCAATGCCAAACATCATTGTATTTTATAAAAGCGTGTCACTATTTGTCTTCAAAGGTGTCAAAAACTAACGACAGGTGTCTGCCTCAAGCAGTGTTATGTTACCTTTGTTAGGTGGTAGCTAAACAATTTCATGCATGGTCAATTATACAGTCTCCACTCTGTAGTTTGCAACATGGTACAAATCAGTAATTTAAAAGTAAATGTATGCCACCTGCACTCCTGCCCTCTAGGAGGAATTAAGCAGACCCTTGATTTTGTTTTTGAGTTCAAGGTTGATGAATGTCGTAGACTCCAGTGTATATATATATTAAAGATGCACCATGCACCAATTGTGCAGTCTAACTAGCTGTATTTGCCACAAGAATGTAGCCTCCAGGCTATTCCTGACCTTCCCTGCATCTGGCTACAGGCACCACTGAATCAGCCTATTCAATTGGCAAATGCAGTTACTGTAACACCTGTTATTCAGCTCAGGAAGGTAAAACAAGTATACCCAGAAGCTAGGTTTGCTAAATTACACTGTGCAGGTGCATGATGTACAGACTGTGTTTGATAACATTTTACACCAAGGCAAGTACACTCATGACAGTTACAACTTACATAACTACCAGCTACTACATGCAGTACACAGAAGTTATAGCCTAGCAAAAATTAACCTTTGACAATGCTAGTTGACTCATTTTTACTGTTAAAGTATTTTATGATTATGAACTTTTAGGTTGGCCCATTTAATGATATCCACATTTATGAAGAGTACAGGTCTTTTGGTTCTGAACTACTTGCCAGCAGGCATCTGTGAAATGTGGGTATTTGTTTTGCCGCAGAGTTTGTTGGATCATCTGATCAAGAAGTGACCCTCAAGCATCACAAGAGGTTGGAATTTTGCTCAAATGTTGCTGTGGGTATAGTGACCAAGGAAAGGATGTCAGGCCAGCGAAAGAGACCTCCTTTACTTGGATCCATTCCAAGGAGCCTGAGCTCACAGATTGGCAGCAGAAGAGGTAAGGAGATGGGGTAACTACTATGTGTGAAATACCAGAGGGTCCTGAGGTCTCATCACATATAACCTCACATGCCACAGAGCGTATTTGTCAGTCATGTCTGTACTGTACTAGTGAATAAAGTCTCGGTATGAATAAAGTGTAGGTAAAAGTGGTCTATCTTGGTCATTCTGAAGGATGTTGCTAAACAACATGTTATAATGTTTATCATAAATCAGAATGGAACATGTAATATAGTAAGTTGGCAGGATACTTGGCATACCTGTGACAATTTACTGATGAAACTGTGAAGTTGTGATATATCAAAAGCATTTATCGTGTCTTTTACTGAAAAAAGTCCTTTTTAAAAGAGCTTAGGTATGTCAGTATGCTGTCAATTAATACTTTTTAATTAATCACCATCATTACATCATGTTATTAGATACATGGCTGTTACTTTGTACTTAGTTTTCTGGTACTTTGCATCAGAATCCTTGTAAAAAAAAAAGTTTCTGATTTATGGAGGTAGTTGTTAGCTGTGTAAGTCTGGGGGTTTTCATCAGCTCACATCTGACACCTGTCCATTTCTCCAGCAGGAGGAATTATCATTCCACATGTTCCATCTATTCCAGCTTGGTCCAGTGACCTCTGGCATCTCTATTAGACCTGTGTCAAAACAGAAAATAAGGATTGGGTTGAATATACATTCTGTCCACCTGTTCACCCTTCATGTGTGTTGTGACAACTGTGCCATATGGATCAGGAATGGTTTGCCCTGATGCCCTACATGTACTTCTATAGCCCATGGCATCAAGTTACTCTCATTGCATGCTGCACTCTCAAATGTTACTCGAGCCTGTCAAAACAGACAAGTCTGATGAACCCAAATAGTACAGCTAGATTATAATATAAATGGGGTACATTGATGAGAGCCTTTTTTTTGCAAAAGAGAACTTAGAAAACTATATGAATTTATGATAATAAAATAGATATAAATACTCATAAGTGTTGGTTACCCACTAGACCATCAAAAAGGAGACTGTAGGTCAGAAAGGACAGTAAATTAGGAAACGACAGAAAACTTAGAAATAAGAAAGCAATTATTTTATTTTGTCCAAGTTGTTTTCTCAAAATGCAGTTGGTCTTGGAGGTTAAGGTAGCCAACATCAACATGCTGATGATTCTGCTACACTGTAGTATTTGGGTTGTAGAATTTTGACCATCCCACACCGGGGGATGCCCCTACTCTTTTTCGAAAGGTGTGGTGGGATCTTTAACGTGCTCAAGGTATGGCTCTCCTCAAACACGGGACCTCCAGTTTACGTCCTATCCGAGGGACGTCCCTAACCGAAGCTAGGTACTCATTTACACCTGAGTGAAGTGAGGAAATTCGTGTAAAGTGCCTTTCCCAAGGGCACAAGATCGGTGACATGGGTGGGGATCGAACCCTGGACCTCTAGGTCCCGAGCCGAACGCGCTACCGCTGCGCCACGCGACCCACAGTCATGTTATGCTTACTAGAAGCATTGCTAGTAGCATTGATAAGTTACAACTGGTTGAAGGGAATAATAACTGGATAAAAGTTATCAGGTGATCAAGAGTCTCAGTCTTATATCAGTAGTGTTTTGGTATTTTGACAGTGAAAGCTGGCCTTAGTCTTCCTAGGGTATACAAAGCAGTAGAATAAGTTGTTGAATACTGTGCAGCGGTCCTTAACCTGAAAGAAGTAGGAGATAAAAGAGCCTCATGCTAACAATGCACCAGAGTAGAAACCAAAATAAGAGTCAAATTACAGGAACTTCATCTTATAAAGCCTTGGACATACTTACAAGGTTGAACAAGAGTATGCAGAGCAAGGTGCATGGGTTACCCTATCTCGAAAAGGCAAACTTAGGTCTTAAGTTATCAGGTTTGGGTCTGTCAATATCCAGCCAAATACCTTAGAGGCAAATCCTCGTCCACGCAGAATGCATTTATCAGTTGTGACTAGTAACATCAGCCCACGCCACAGAACTTCAAAACATCCCATACGCCCTGCAACTGTACTCTGGAACAGGCTGA